CGTCACTAAGATATGTAAGCGGGAGCAGAACATATACAGACAACATTGATTTTCCCTTAAAATATTTCAACAGCCACCAGCAAGTGATAATATGTCCTTAAAAATGAAATTTAGCCGGGAAAATTCTTAAGTACATGTATTTACTATAGCTATAGTTTTTCAGACAAGTCTCGAGTTTGTACACGGGGCACAGGGGCATCAAGTGTTGCCCGTGTATGGAACTCTTTCCCAAGTCAGACTATAACAAGGTCAAACATTTAACATGTCTAAGGGTGATCACAGACTGATATATTTGTCGAATTTTTCAGCCAAGAAGGCAGATACCATGTTGACTTCAGCTGCTGGTCCCGTGATGTCTGCTATTCCAACACCAATTTTGTAGTTCGGCGTATTAACAGCCTCCACTTTCGCGATTCCATCGTTGGACAGATCTTCTCTTGGACCCGGAATGCCGCGTGCGGTGACAAGTAACACTAAAAAAGTCAAAAGCACAATATGGCCCGCCATTGCCTCTGTAGCTGCACTTCGGAAAAAATTCAGACGGAAGAAAGAGAGAGATTTGCGTCCTTACAATTCATCGGGTAAATCACGAGTCAATGGACAGATCATGTGACATATCACGTTATAATCATAGACCTAACACAACACAACTGCAGCCAGAAATGAGACGGCCGAATCCACACGGTCTTCCTTGTAGCAACGCTACACTGCTGCAGAACTGAGCATGCGCATTAACCAGCAGAAGTTCACATATCCGCGTACGCGTAGAGCTAGCAGAACAGAACTGACTGTGTCTGTGTGGTAGCGGGTTTGTGCACAAGTCAATGGTGTAGCACTTTTTTGCAACACGCCACGGCCCCTTCCTTTTTCATTTTTCCGTGTAGCACTGCTACACACACAGGTTCTGTCCTCTTCGGTCTCATTTCTGGCTGGGTATAAACAAGAAAATTCATAATTATGCACGCATGCCAAATGGCCCTAGTCAGTAAAGTGTCGATTATTCTTACGAATACCAGTTTGGACATCCTTCAAAAACTGATAGCCCAAACTTGACTTGATAGACACAGAAAGCACTTGTGACATTAGGTTGCAAACGTCAAACACGGTGACTCGAGAGGCGCTCTCAAAAATAAAGTAGATTGCTTTAGACTTTCAATACCGTTAATAACACGCAAATCTTTAGATTTGCTGCGGTAACATTTTCTGTTGAGATAAGCGATTTTCAATTAAAGCGAACCGCTCCTTACATTGCACTGTATAATGTTTTTAATTTGTCTCCTTCATTTTTACATATCCCTTCCATTTTAGTTTTATTTCATCTTTTTTTTTTCATTTTAATTTAGATATTCTATTTGAAGAGCAGTGAACTGTAGTTTTCAAATCAGTCACTCGAGAAACTTGCTTGTTGGTGGTGTAAAAGGTACCCAGCTCTGTACAGTCATATCGATAGTCTTTGCTAATTTAAATTTAGTATAATTCTGCAACTAACATATGTACATGTAGGTATAAATCCATTTCGACCGTAAGACAGTGTGTCATGCGATACACTGATGGTGTCTACTGCATGTCTGTGTGTAACTTCGTGTAAAGCATGTACTGTGCCTGTGAATGAAAAACAGTTGTGCACCCAGCCGAGGAGTTACAACGGTTTGAGACAGGAATAAAGCTTTTTATGTACATGTACATGTACATGCAAGTGTACATGTACATAGGTAGCCAACGCTGGACAAATGATGGAATTCATCTCGCTGCTGTCGAGGTATCAGTAAAGGCTTTTTGTTCTTTTGTACAATATGGACAATAATAGCGGGGAGAGACATGGTTTTAGTCGGAGAAACGACTCAAAAACCTTGATTCAAATGATTCGGACGCGAAGTACGCGTCCTCGCCCATTCGAATCAAAGAATCTCCACTTTCGTCGTTTCGACCTCGTCATTTCTCCTTAATGTAACATACAGTACGCAGAAATATGCTTTGAAAGGTTTGGCATGAATTCAATCCATCCCTATACCTGATTCCTTACAAAAGAAGTCGTTTAACTGGTAGAATTTAGGTCCCAATTCGTGAAAACGAAAATGCAGGGTGTGCGCGCTGGAAGTGCCGCACTACGTACCGGGTGCCCTGATGAGTTTGTGAAAAGTAAAAGTAGGCCAACTCGATTCTCTGGAATGCGCACACAATGAAATCACCAGCCTGAAAGCAAAAGGCACGCAGCGAGTTTCCGGAACCCTCCGTCGCACGGTCCGCCTATGGGGACTTAACATGGGGCCGTTTTGTCACGTCCGATAAACTGAAACCACCCAAGAAACACTCATGTCAGAATTACCTTTGTATTCCCCAAGCAATGTTTTGAAAAGTCACCCGGAGATGGGTACTTTCATTAACGACCTTCCACCTCCTCTAGGTCTCCCCGTTCAACTTGTTCAAGCACGTTTGTCTTCACTTCATGTGCTTTGTGAAAACGAGATTATACAACGTTACAAAGATTTACCTACCTGCAGTCAGTCGAGTTGACCTGAGTCTTGTCAGTAAAGGTTGGATTAAACTTTAGAATCTTTCATAAAACGCAGGTTATTCCTTTGAATTTATTTACTTATATACTGAAAAATATTTGACATATTTTGTTCCGTTTTTATTTTGGCTTTTACGGAAAGAATTATACCATAAAATATACTTTCGTAACCGTTCATCTGTATACGAGAACGCAGAATTGCACTGGTCTTTGTGTATTTTAGGTCTTCGGATGTGAGAAGTCACAATTTAGCAAGATATTCTCTTTCTGGCAAAGTAATATTTCAGTGTCTGTAAAATTACAAAATACTTGACAAAGGCTTTTTTCTGAGGTGACTGTTTAAAGCAGTAAATGAACCAAAAAATTGAAAATTGTAACATTTTTGCACGTGAGTTTTCCTATCTAAGGATTCCGGAAGCGCACCATCAGGGGTCAACTTTCAGGCTCTATATATACGCCTAGAGCAGAAGTACGGTATACCCCCAATCGATTAAAAAGAGCTACGTTGATCGAGTGTGTTCAGTTTGTTGATAGTGATGCGACAGTTACGTGTGGATTTCCTAGGTGTTCGTGAACCAGTAAGTTCAGTTCCGACCAAAGGAGCCTCCGTTGTTAAGAAAACAGGGCCCTTTCTTGGTCCAGCTCGAACTGAAAAACCTTGCTCAACCAATGACTTATTCCCCTATAGGTTTCTCTACAGTTCCTCATGTAAACGTCCCACAGATCTTATCCTATCAATCCTGAGGAACGATCTTGAAGAAGCTTGCAACAGTGTTATCACCATTATTTGCGACGCGATGGACATCTTCATCCCAAGCAAGATAAAACTGCCAACAAAATCTGGTTTGATGACCATTGCAAGAAAAATGTGGCCAGGAAACGACGGCTATTCAGGAAACTAAAGAAAGATACTAGAGAACAAGGTTTGAAATGCCAGAAAGGCATACAGTCGGATCGAGAGACAAGCTAGAGGAAAGTGCAATCAAAAGCTGGAGAATTAACTCTCAGACGGAAGTATCAGTAGCAAGAAATAGTGGCACACAATGAACGCCCTCTCCGGTAGAACAGCCAGGGCTGATGTAGCTGTGTTGACAGGCGAAAGCCATATCTACACTACTGTGAAGGAAAGCCTGAAAGACTATCGGCCAGACTTTTGCCATAAATGCCAAGTTGAGAATACGGAAGAAACTGCTCCAGAAGTGCAAAATACAACTTCATGCACCATGGAAGACAGCTTTCAAAGCCAAGGACATTGGGAAGATCCTGTGTAAATTAAAACCAGACAAGCCTACTGGTCCTGACGGGATTCCCACCAGCGATGAAGGAGTGTTGTGCCGAGCTGGCATACCCTCTCGGCCTTCAATTTTGATCTGTGCTTCGTACATGGATGTGCCAGTCATTCCAGTACACAAGAGGGGCTCAAAGTCCATCCCCATCCATGTACCGACCCATCTCCCTCCTTAGTAACATTAGCAAAGTCATGGAGGCAGTGGTATAGACTCAGCTTCAGAAGTACCTGTTGCAGCACCACCTCATCTCAGACAGTCAGTTTGGATTCATACCTTATCATGGCACAGCTGACATCCCCACCATCCTCTCTCAGCAATGGTCCAATGTTCTGGACAAAGGCTACGAAGTGCGTATTATTACCCTGGACATCAACTTAGGGCGCTTTCTACAATGTATGTCATAATGGACCCTATTCCAAACTCAAAAGCAAGGGAGTCTCCGGCAAGCTACGCAACTGGATTATAAGCTACCTTTCCAACAGTTCCATCAAAGTGGTTCTATCTGGGCAGGCTTCAACTACCATGTCCATCGATGCTTCTGTTCCCCAGGGCTCTACATGAATATTGGAAACACTGCTGTTCACCGTCTTCATTGATGATGTAGGAGATGAGGGTGAGAACACCCTATACATGTATATAAACGCAGATGACTCTAACTTCTGCGAGATCAAAACAGGCAATAACAGCAGAGCTGCAACTGCAAGCTTGAATGGAGACCTGGAGAGAATGAAGAACTGAGCAGATAAACAGAAAGTGACTTTCGAGCTATCCGAGTGTAAAGCCCTGGCCACCTCTAGAAAGAGGAATCCAACAAGGACAGACCTATTTTTGGAAACGTCAAACTGACAGAATAGGATGAGCTGGAAATCCTAGGAGTTACTGTTGACAAAAAACTCACCCGGACTAATCACATCTCCAACATTGCAGCCAGAGCTGGACAGAAGCAAGAGGGTTGCCAACAAACTATAAATGCCAAAGGGAAAGCCACAGTGTACAAGGCCCAGATATGCAGCCTTATGGTGGATGAGTGCTTCGGAGCTTCTTGTTCCATCCAGAGCAAAGCATGTGAATGAACAGCAGGCCTATTATTGGTATTATTATTATTATTATTATTTAGGCGTAGGCTTTCCTGGGCCAATTTCTGCAAAACTGGCTCATTTTCGTCAAGTCACATTCGCAGAGATGATATATGGTTCGGTTTGTTCTTGGGTTTCTTGGGATTCGTTTTCATGCACACAATCTTTTTAGTTTTGCCGTTTAGTTTCGTTTCTGTCATCCCATTTCGACTTTAAAAACCGTACTACCACCATTCTTCAATATAATCTTTGTTTTTATAGCAATATGTGCAGTCAGATTCAAAGTAATCAACTTGCATGATCTTTTATAGATTGGGCGTGATTTATTTTTCGTTTATGGTAAATCTATTTCGCGTACTGAGTGTTCGATTTAGGAGTATTGGAGTGAATGCCGTTGGCCTTTTATTAGGCCTATAGGTCGATCTATATAATATTCTTGTTCCACAATCGTTTTGGTGATGGTGAATGATTCCTTTATCCCTTCTTTGTATCTACGCCTATTTCTTGAGTCGAATCAGAGCGTTTTTGTATTGCTCTTTGTTGTGAGTATACTGATGCTGTTCATTTAGTGTTTTGTGTTATTTTGATTATTTGGACCATTTCAAAATATATGTACTTGTTGAAGTTAACGAAAACAAATTCAGGGTTAGCCTCCATACATGTAAAACATGTGAAAAACTTTTTTAAAAGCGTTATCGCTCCAACCTACGATTCTAACTTTTCTATAAGAACCCGACCGCAACAATTTTGGATAAAAGTATGATGAAAAAAAGGTTTTCTCAAGATCCACCGTTAAACCTTTTCTTCCCTCAGAAAATCAGATTTCAA